GTCCTGGTACCACCAATCATATCATCATCCGAGAGAGATACTATGACAATGATGGGGATATGGCCATGGGAATGCTGGCAGGAGCAGCTACAGGGATGGCACTGGGTTCTCTTTTCTGGGGATTTTAAATGGCATATCAGTCTCAAAGTCACTTATTTATTAAATGCACTAAAATGTACTTAAATATAGGTTTCCTTGTCTGCTAAACAACTTATATTCTAGGTCTGTAATGGACAATACTAACTTGGGTTAGTTGTTAAAAAAATATCACTAGGGAAATTATTTTTTTTTTAATAAGATTAGTTAATGTGACTTGCAGACACAAAAGTGTACAATGCAGCAAATTAGTTATTTATATTTGGAGAACACATTAAAACTTTATTAAAGTGACAAGAAACTCAGGATTTAAATCCTAAAAATGTATTAAAATACCTTAACTATTAACAAAAATGTATCTTATTAGTGCATCACTCAGCTGTATATCCTCAAATCATCTCTAAATTGGTGCTGACACTGTCCTTCCTTCTGGAGGTTGGCTACTTTTGTTACTTATGGTCTCTATGTGTGTTGTAAAGTAGCCACCGCTCCAAGCTCGCTCCCGTAATGGATTACTCAAATTTAGTTTACTAATTTGTATTGAGACTTGAGATTGTAGTTTATCACAGGAATGAACTTGGAGCAGTGGCTACTCTACAACACGCACAGGTACCATGGGGAACAAAAGTAGCCACCCACCAGAAGGAAGGACAATGTCAGCACCAATTCAGAGATGATTTGAGGATCCACAGCAGAGTGATGCACAAATAAGATAAATTTTTGTTAATAGTTGAGGTACTTGAATGCATTTTTAGGATTTCATTCCTGAGCTTAGTGTCACTTTAAGTGATTGTTGTTCACACCGTTGTTACATTTTTTAAGGGTAGATTGAATTGTAGTTGTTGATGTATTAGTTCAGTATTATAAGGTGATAGCTGAGTACCACAGAATTTAAAATAATACAATTTGTATTTGTACTATCAAAAGATTATTTTTAGGAAAAGGTTCCCAGAGATCTACCTTTTCATCAGGATAATCAAAGACTATACTGTCAGTGAAATTATTGGATAATTACAAAGTCCTTTTCTTGAAGCATGTCTTTGTAATACTCCAATAATTTGTTTCAATTTGACACTACAGAATATGCTTAGACGGAAACTGTATTTTAAATGACATTGAAGACTAGTGATCCTTTGTTCACTCCAAGCATGCAACTGTGTGCACGATAATTTTAAAAAAAAATTGAGTCTATGCCCATGATTGGGTGTTTGAAGCAAGCACTGGTTTACAGTACATCTCCACACTATATTCTAGTAAATCATCTCCTGATTGAGTTACAAAAGGTTTAAACTGGATGAGCCCGCTTTGCGGTTTTATGTAAAATAAACAAAAAAATTCACCCAATATGGATTGGAATTGATAATATCAGTAAAAACAACATACTACAGAACACCACTCCCTCGACTCCTGTGTAGCCCATCAAAGGGAACACTGATTGGGGTCTTAGTTTGAGGGGGGTACTGTGTTGTCCGCTCACATCAGAAAGCTCGCCGGATTTCTCTAAGGCATTTTTCTGTACTTTCAAATTGATAACACATGGGGTAATGTGCACTTATTGCAGAGATGTACTTAATATGTTTGTTTTTTTTTGCTCGAACATATGCCTTAAAAAAAAGTGCTTCGGATCATATATACTCGGCTAAGAAGTCTGAAAAAGGGGAGAAATAAGTCAATAAATCTTGGAAAAAACAAAAGCCTGGCAAATCTAATTTGTACAAAATGTTGTGAAAGTATATGTGCGCCTATATGGAACTGAACTCTAAAAGTATAGATCCTCTATGATGTAGAGGCTATGATGTAGAGGCCATTCACGCTAGCCAATCTGCTAAAAACTATTCTTCTGACAAAATCGCAATATTTTTTCCTAATCTAAAGGGCCCACATACCTTGTGGTCCCACCTGCAGTATCTGGCCAGTGCCAGTGATGTGTGGGTCTTCATACAGGACCACCTGATGTTCACATTGCTGGTATGACTGGACTTGCAGATAGCCCAGACAGGAAAAGGCAGGAAGAAGGCCAGAGGAAAAGAGACTTGCAGAATCACAATGGTGGGAATTTATCATAGCAACTGCGAGTGTTTAAACTTGCACGGAATATATTTGACGCACATTGTATCTTCACATCATTGTGCTAAACAAAATGAAAAATACAGGCACTTTGATATGGATTTAAGGAAACATTTTTATTTAGGTTGACATGCACTTTAACTGTAATGACAACACTGAATCTTGCTAGTCAGATCTGTGTGTGTGTGTGTGTGTGTGTGTGTGTGTGGTACAATTAAAATTCTGTCTTGAGCAAAGTGTTGTGCGTCGGCAATAAAAACCATATGCAATATTAAATCCTGGGTGAGGAGAGCCTGAAATGAGCAGTCAGCAGTATTGGATTGCAGAGAGAACCAATAAACCTGACAGATATACCTGACATTAATAGAGAGGGTAATATATCGTTATTTTCTTTATATTGAGCCTGCATAGTTTATAGCTCTGTACAATGGAGAAATCAGGTTACTGACAGTAATATGTTCTTGCGGTATGACATATATCAGTAACTTGAAAACATACAGAATGAAAGTCAAGCAGTGACAGTCCTGGAAACATGCAGACTGGTGACTCAGAGTATCTTCCTATAGGGCACTCCAGCTGTGGTGAAACTACAAATCCTACCTTGCCTTGGCCTCTGGGTGTCATTCCTGTGGCTGTCAGTCTCACAATGCCTCATGGGATTTGTAGTTCTACAGCGGCTGGAGTGCCAAGGTTGCCTACCCCTGCTATAATGGTTTCCTTTTATAGAAAAAGCACCTATAAAGGGTAAGGTCTGCTAACTCAGGCTACAGTGACAAGTTTTTTGGTTTTTTTGCATCATAAAGGTGCCCACACACCTTACGATTATCATACGATTTTCGTATGCGATCGACTTTTCGGCCGATAATCGTATGTGTGCATTGCAGTGTGCGACCTACTGTACCGTACAATCATACGACTTTTGACGGTCAAGCATGTTTGAAAACTTTGCCGGATCGTACGATTGTCTTAAGGTTGCTGGTGTTTCCGTCCGTCAGTAGTCGTACGATCTACACTGCGCTTGCGCTAACAAAAATACGGCAAATCAATTACCGCATTTCGTCCAGGTGCTTTTCGTTAATTACGGCTAAATTAATCTTGCAATCATCGAGGCAGGATGGGGCTGCCGTACGAAAATCGTATGACTGTACGATAATCGCAAGGTGTATGGGCACCTTTACACTTGATTTATGGACACTTGAGGAATAGTTACCTGAGCTCTTGGATCTACCTAACATTATCAGTACTGCCATCACCTGGTCCTTTCTAGGTTGTCAAGACTTTTATAATTAATTCATCAGGGAGGGCAGAGCAGATCATATTGGAAAAAACATCTTGCTTGGATCTCAGACATTTTTAACAAGCAAGTGGTTGATTAAATGCACTTGAATCCACTCTAAATTGAGTAACTTATTGGAATTATCATTCAAATTCAAGTGGCAGCTCCTATGACTATGGCAATGCAATAACAACAATTGTTCAGACACTCCAGTGTTTATGTGCAAAGCTATGATCTCGGCTACGACTAAGGCCCAGTTTTGGGGACTGAAACACGTAAACATTTGTTTGCTGCTTTTAAGCCCTTTTGCAAATAAAGTATTGAATGGACGGATCCCCTTGCGAGTGAAGGTTTTTTACCTATTGCTCAGTGAAAGCTTCGGCAGAAGCTTTACCAGGCAGGGCAGCCATCAGAGATTTGGGGGCCCCTTACACCTTAGGCCTGCTCCTGGTGCCTGGCCTCCTCTGCCGCCGGACTGGCCGGAAGTGACGTGATCCCCCGCTACCTCTGGGCTCTTGTCTGCGCCGCTGTCAGACTAGGATAGTGATGGCGAATCTTTTTGAACCCGAGTGCCCAAACTGCGACGCAAAATCAATGTATTTATCTCAAAGTGCCAACACTGAAAATAACTTAAGTATTACATTTCAGTTCGGGCGCTCGGGTTTAAAAAATGTTCAGCATCACTGCTTTTGGCAAAATAGGGAAACACACATATTCAAACATTTATACAATCATTAACCACTTGCTGCCCAGAGCAATTTCTTAAATTTGCACACCAATGATAAAATCTACATTTTTGGATATAAAACAGCTTTAGACCCCCAAACAATGATATATTTTCTGAATGCAGAGGCCCTGAAGAATAAAAAGATGATAGTTGCAATTTTCTATGTCGCACGGTATTTGCGCAAATATTTATCAAACAAGTATTTTTAGGATAAAATACACTCAAATTAAATTTAGTGCACAGAAACAGAATATAATGGCCAATTTTTTGGTAAAATATAAAAGATGGGGTCACGCCGGGCAAATAGATAGCAAACATGTCAAACCTTAAAATTGTGTGCATCCGTAAAACCGCAAAAACTACAATAACCAACATTTCCCATAGGCGACGCTTTAAATGCTTTTATGGCTTATCAGTTTAGCGCTATCAGTGATTGATGGGCCCAGAATTATTGCTCTCACTCCAACGCTCGCGACGATATGTAACATGTGTGGCGCAATTTTTGTTTTTGCACGTGGGCGCATACAACACTTGTTTGCGTTGTATGTGCGTGGACATGGGGGCGGGGGGATCTTAAAAAAATGTTTTTTTTACTTTTTAATTTTTTTATGTTACTTAAATTTTTACAATTTGTTTTTTCACACTCGGCTTTATTGCTAACAAGTCCCTTATGTAATAGCAAATATAATGTGACAGGTCCTCTTTATGGAGACATCGGAGGTCTTTCAGAACCCTAATGTCACCTAGGGACTCCAAAGAAGCTGATGAGGCAGAGGTCTGCTTCACCAGCTTCTTCTTCTGGCTCTAGGAGCCGGAGAATGTGTACTGTGACACCGGAAGTGATGTAATGTACATCACTTCTGGATCCAGTGATTGAAGGAGAGATTCGCGGCTAGAAGCCACTGATCTCTCCTCCAATCTGTCAGGGGAGATCCTCCACGCCGGTCACGGGCTCACACAAGGGACAGATGAGCCCGGGAAGCTGACGGCGGCACCGGCGGCCATGGAGGAAGGGGGACACAGCGTTGCGCCGTACAAGCGATCCAGCGTCCGTAG